GGGGGGGGGGGGGGGGGGGGTAGGGTTGTCAAGTGATACTTTCAGCCCGCACGTGGTAGTGTCCACAACGGGAGAAGGCTACATTGATTCGGTGGATTGGCTTTGCCTAACCCACAACCTACATGCTGGTATTTCACGCCCATATTGTTCCGCCGTTCCCCCAAAGACACAAAAGAATGAACACAGCAGCGTGGCGCCGTGAAAATTCTACCCGTTCGCCTGACCTGCGCCGTTTGACCCTTGTATCGGGTTCGGTGAGGAGCCACGTGTGCAATTGGCACCACCACCATGCACCTCATTTCGCTTTCCTCTGCCGGTAGTGCTGGCTCTGCATGCTAGGCTGGTCGAGTGGCCTACTGCTGTAGCAGTTGACGGGGCAAAACAAGAAACAATTTAGGTGTTCACAACACGAAGTCTTATATTCAGCTGCAGGTGTCATGTTATTGATGCATTTTCAAACGTTGCTGTGGTTAACAATCCACGAAAAACGTTTGTGAGCTGATCCTATTTTTTCTTGAACATCCCTCCACCCCATGAACCCCTCAGGCACGTGGCTACCTGTACATCCTTAGCCAAGAAGGACGTACTCTGTTCACCTCGCTCAGCTGAGCATTGCCCCGGCGGCAAGCAGCAGAGAGGGGGGGGTTGACAAGGAATAGTTCTCTCCACCCCCCACCCCCTGATGCCGCGCACATGTTGTTGCATCGGCAAAAAAGTCTTCGCGGCCTTGGTAGCGGAAAAGCGCCGGTGTCTACGCGGCGGGTCCCGGTGCACTCGATGCTGGGCTCAGATCGTTCACGTTCTTTGGTTTCTTGCCTCTTGACTGGTAGAGGGGATTATTTTTGTAGCACAGATTTGGGTTCGAAGGCACAAGGTCTGGTTTCGACTCTCTGTTGGGTCTTATTTTCGCGGCGTCAAGAACCTCTTGTGAGGCGTGTGTTTCGTTGCGACCAGGGGTCACGCACGAACGAGACCCAAAGAAAAGAGTGTCGGTTTCACGAGCGGGTTCCGAGTATTGTAATCCACGAACGACAGGCAGGGCGAAGACGGGGGCGCGCATGCAGCAGCGCATGCTGTGCGGCGGCAGTTTTGGTGGATAAAATGTAGCATAAGGCACTGACACCACCGCGAAGGGGAGCGATCGCGCAGGCGGACAACAGCAGTCGCATCAGATTTATATTCGACCGCGGGGGGGGAGGGGGTGGTGTACTTATAGTCGTGCATGCCGTAGTCGTTAGACCATTGACCTCGCATTCCTACAAAGCCGGGACGGAGCACGCGGGGTTCTCACCGGACCAGGCTCTCACATCACAAAGCGCGAAGCGCCGTGAGGTATTCGGGGGGGGGGGTACTTGTTGGGGGAGCAGGACCTCTCGTCCGGCGTGCGGAGAAGACAAAGTCGAAGGCTTGTTGTCAACAGCATGCTTGTGAGAAAGTGCACGTTTGTTATCGTTTGTTCCGCAACCTTTGTTTCACCCTCCGCTACTACTGCCCACCAGGCACGTCATGCCGACCTCGAGGGAGGGGGTTTAGGGGGTTCTGTTACGAAGGGAAACTTATTTGTGTGTTTTGTCTTGGTGTTGATTTCGTGTGGATGCTGGCGTGATCCACACGGCCAATGTTAAATTTTGTTGGGGTTGTGCCAGAGATGGAAGCGTTATATCGTTCTTCTTGAACACACAAGGGCGTGCGTGCTCTGCTGAGCGTCGACGCTTGTTGCCAACATCTGATGTTGTTTGCTTCTGTTTGTTCGTAGCTGTGCTGTTCAGCGTTGTCTTTTGCCTTCTAGCGTAGCACCACTCCCTCAGAGAGCTAGCTCGTCGTTTTGTGTCGCTTCCGTCTTTGCACGGGCGCCAGGGGCGGGCGGGTTCATTGCAATGACTCCGGAGAAAAGGATTGGAGATGTACGTATGCTCCACGGTTGATGATGATTAACATCAGCATGCATGCCTCCTCCAGACGATGCCATAGATTGACAGCGCCGGCAGGGCAGGGCGGGGCGAGGAGAGAATCGCCTTCTTTCTGGTGACCGGCGTTGTACGTCCTTGTCGGATCGGCGGAGCGGCCAAGAAAAGCTATATTAGGATGGTCGAGGTTTCCTTGGAAACCCCGAGCATTCTTTGTGGCACACGAGATGCGGCGGGGGGGCAGAGACAAGAGGAACACGCACGCGCGCACCACGCCTGTTCCACCAGTTGTGCGTGGAGCGTTTAGCGGGGAGGCGATGGGGCGCTGACTGACGAAATGGCGTTCCCTAAACGAAGTGATTCGATAGCAAACGTGTTCTGAGGTTATCCGGAAAGAAAAAGAGGGGAATCGGGTTCTAAAAGATGTTTGCTAGGAGTTGTAAGGGGAGGAGGCATCCGTGTGAAGAATACGGTTCGCGTGTCCCCCCACGGGTAGACCGGGTTGTGTGTGTGGTCGTGATAGTGCTCGTTGCCGATGCGTTAGATTGATGTTACAGAAGGCGGTTCATGTAGAGGGTAACTATTGTTTGTTATTTGTGCGTAGTATGGCGATAAAGCCCTCATTCCAAACAATGACCTACATAGTTCCGCTTGACTACAGAGAAAGGAGTCGTATCTCTGTGAAGAAACAATGTACAGGAAGTTGGAAAAGTAGGGACCATGATGAAGGGTGATGTGGGAGGATCTTCGCTTGAGATATTTCTTGATTGGGCTGGGAAGGTTCTATCAGCAATGATTGTGGCACTTTGAGGGGGAGGGCGTGGAGCGTGTGTTATTGTTGGAATAACGTCCGATTACGACAGAGAGAAAGATAAAATTCAAGGCGATGATGCCCGTTGCGAAAAAGCAGTAACGTGGGCGGTCGGCACTATTGCCTTCAACGGATGTGTACAGTTTAAGTGAGTGGGGTTGCAGCATGGCGGAATTTTCTCAAAGCAACCAAAGTTTTGAGTTTCGACGGAACTTTTTTCGATCTCTTCTTCGAAAGTAACACAAACACAGCAGCAAATTATGCTACATTTTATGTCGTTCACGCCAACCTTGAAGGTGCGGTTGCCTTGAAGTGCTTCCCGTCCCTCCACTTCCATGACAAGAATGGAGGAGCAACCAGGCGGGCCCAAATACCGACACATCATCTCAACAGAAGGTTTGATCATACCGCCGCGGTTTTTGGAAACCCCTGTCTGTGCATTGTTGCACTACACCTCCCGAAGGAGAAATTACTGTTAACAAGGGGTTATGTCGCACGTAAAAAGAAAAAATATAATTTGAAAAACACCTTTCTTCTCACCGCGAAGACTCAGTTGATCAAGCAGGCGCAACTATTGTACGTCCAAAATACCAATCAGCAGAGGCCCCTCAACCCCCACCGAAAAATCCAACACACACACCCTTCATAGGAGGTAGTGTTGCGTATGTCGAACCATGCTCTCTCTTCTTGAATGCTGCGTATGTATACGTTCGAACGTATATCCTCTCACGACCAATGGGCGTCGTTGTACGGGATGGCGAGAGCCAATCAACGCGTGCCTCAAGCTAATTCGATACAGACAAGCCTACGTCGAACCCGATAATATCAGAAGAATACAAACGCCGATGGCAATGCACCAAATAAAAAAAGATCGGTTTCGCTATCCACCGCCAATAACAACTCCGTTCACACGACTCCTCCTCCTCCTCCTCCTCCTCCTCCTGTAGTTTACACCGTAGGCCTGACTCTCAGAAATATTTAGCACCCGCTGTCCACAGTTCGCAATTGAAACTTGTGCTCCGTTCCACGAAATGAAATTGGTTAAATTAACAATTTTTTGACATCCTGTAAACGAGTGATAAAACAGGACGACGACGATGACAGATAGACAGGCCGGAGCCACCACATCACCAACACTCCATAATCTTAACAGCATGACGACCATGAACGAGACAAAAATAACTAAAAAAAAAATAACGATAGTGAATGCTAGGATACACAACACGGGCGATGGACAAATGTGACAATGAGCGTCCGGACAAGCCGCACCAAGGATGTACAAAAGCAAGCTTACAGCACTCCCAGTACACTTGGGTTGCGCATTAGCTATACGTGTGTAATCTATTGAATGCGGTCCCCGAAAAATTTACACCTAGACTAATGATCGCGGCCTCATAACACCAACACCAACACTGCCACTGCAATTCTTCAAGCCACATTTATTTCTAGGCTGTGCTCAGTGTAAAAGAAAATTCATGTACAGCGACCGACACCGACCAACACAAAAAAAAATCGTCGTCTGACTGCCTGGATACCTGACAAGGTCAGGAGCACGAATACGGCAGGTTCGCCAGGACTGAGACACGCACACACAAAGAAACAACGCCAGCTTTAATTTCGACGGAGCGCGGCGCCCAAAACCAACAGCTCAGACCCTCTCTCGTGTTGTTCGCGTGTTTCCCCCCTCGGCACCACACGCCCTTTTCTGATACACGCACATGACATGACTTATGTTGATATGTTCCCGAATGAATGGACATAAAACTCCCAATCTGACCCCACCGCCAAATTAGCCCTCATGCTGTAACTCCCCCCCCCGCCCGCCGACCTGTGATGTTCGGTCTCTCTGTTCCGACTTAAGCGCGTCATTAATGACTTAGAGAAAAAAGCCGAGCATCACATTGTAATATTTGTGTGCACCCCCCAAAAATATCAAAACTGGGCTAAAATTATTTTTGCCCCAAAAACAAGCATCGGTGGACGAAATGTTGTGATCCACGTCCATTTTCATGGCATGCCACGTCTACAACTGCTATTGGTGGTGTCTCTAGAATCAAAGCAACTTACACTACAGTACACTGCGGTGCTTCGTTGGCAACAGGAGGGCTTCCCGCGGTGGACACGTCAACCGCATTGCACCAAAGAAGAAACGAAAGCCGAAATAGACGTGCGTGCAGTCACGCCGACGTGCCGACTGTACACGCATGGTGCACGCATGCGTGACTTCGACAACGGCAGCGAAAAATAAAGATGAAATGCAGATGACTAGAAGAGAAAGACAACAAAAAAAGAACACACACACACTTATAACAACAGCAGCACCTCCCACTGGCCCGGATCTCGCTGATCGATCTACCACGAGCAATCAATCCCCGTCGACACAGCAGAACAATTTTCACCACCCACACAGGCCAACGAAAAACCTAAACGTCACCGTTCCCCCCGCCCAAGAACAGGAAGGGAACATGGAGGACACGACCATCACCACCACTCACGCGAGGCCGTTGCGGACAGTCGACGCGCCTTTTCCTGGAGCAGATGCTGCAGACAGACAGATCTACACACGTGCTGCTCGCGTTCACGCTCCCCAGATGAACGCGAAGGGGCGCCTTTACAGAAACAACCAACGCACGGACGGTCTTTGTGGTCCAGTCAAGACGACAAATTTCAACAGGAGGACTTAGTCTTTACTCCCCTCCCCCCCCCGAATTAACGCCATCCGGAGCCTCCGCTACCATCCCGTTGAAACGGCCACTGGTGAGCGAACAGCCCCACCGCTACGGGGTGCCTCTTCTCCTCCCTCCCCTCGCCTCCGAAGCCACCACCACCCTCTCGCTGGTGCTGCGCGCTGGCCGCGTCCAACTGCTGAACCATCGGCGCCCACGACGTGGGTGCCCAGGGACTAGTCGGTTCCGGTCCTCCTGGAGATGAACCGGAGGACCTCCTTCTGCAGTGGTGGTAGCTGCTGAAGCTGGCGGTGCTGCTACGGCCGCCGCACTGGCCGCCCCCGGGGTCACCGTAGGCCGGCGATGACGACGACGCGACGGTGTCGAACGGGGCACGCGCGACGGGACGGTTAGACGGGGGTGCCACCGCTGCCGACGCTGCCGCCATCGCCGTCGCAGCGGAGTAACGGCCCCTTCCGCTCCCTACCGCTCCCACATGCCGTCGGGAGGAAGGCGGCGTCGACATCAGTATGCCGCCGTTCGCGCCCGTGCGGCCGCCGCCGCCGCCCCCCCCTCCCCTCGGTTGCTGCCGCGTGCCCGCGTGCGCCCACGATGCGGGGGACGCCGGGGCCGCTCTCCCCGCCGGTGACGACCCGGACGAGTAGCCCGCCCTCCTCGCGTACCTTCCACCGTGCCCCCCTGGCGGCGCTCTGGGGGGCTCGGCCGCGGGCGCGGCAGACGTACGCTGGCGGCGGTCGGTGAAGGAGGAGCACTGCGGGGAGCGGGGGGGGGCGGCGTCCCGATGGTAGCACTGCGGCGACACCGGGGGGGCGTCCACGGCTACACCGAAACCGTAGCTGTCGGAGAAGTCTGACGACGACGGCGAGGGGTAGGAACGGCTCCGCTGGTGGCGTGGCGTCCGGGGCTGGCCGTTCGAGTGGTAGTCTGGGGTATCGGCATGCCACACGCACGAAAGCGCAAGTTAAATAAGTTACAGATTTGATTTCTGCGCTCACGTGAGCTGGCTGTGCGGTTTGGCCGTACGCGCATCGGAGTATCATCGTCGGTTTTTGGTGGTGGCCGTTTCACTGTGTTACTACACGTGTTTTGGTCGTTTCACCTGCGTCACTACACGTGTTTTGGTCGTGTTCCAAAACGCGTTCTATTCTCTCGCGGACGCCTTGAAATATCATTTGTTCTGTCCTGTCTGTTCAAAGCGTTTCCGTTCATGTTGGAGGAGGCGTCGTCATGCTTTCAGCGGAAGAGCCTTCGCGTGTGACGACGCACCGACAGTGAACATGAAAATCTTCTCTCGAAAGCGCAGCAGAAAGACACTTGGATACAATAGTTGCCTCCGCTATTCCGACGTTTCTGCACCATGACCATTGCAACCTCTCCGCCCCGTTCCCTGCCGACTGTGAAACGTTCGGTTAGCCGGGATGCCCAACCAACCCATGGCATACCCGCTTTGACACAGCAATGCAAGGATGACAACCAGCCTTATGGGCCGGCGAAAACCCGGCGCATATCGCTCCGCCCCGGCATTGCAGAGTATGCGCTTCCAAGAGTACCCTCCCCCGAAAGAGAAGGGGTCCCGCCACTGTTCTCACCATGGGGGTGCCGCGTGGCAGGGGAAGACCAGTGCCTGGTGTGCCGGGCACCTCTCACGGGGGTGTTTCCGGTGCTGAGGTCCACGAAGGTAGGAAGGCGGCGCTCGCAGGGGGAGTGGGGAACTCGTCCGATGACCCCGCCGCACCGAGAGGAAAGAGACGTGTCTCGCGACGAAGGGCAGGAGCCGCTGTCTTCACTCACGCCTCTCGCGATCCTTCAAAAGAAGAAGAGGAGAGGAGGTACAGAGAAGGTGTATGCGGGGATATGATTGGTTTTTGAGTGAGGTTGACGATGTTTGTTGGACAAGAGTTGCGGAGAAAGGTGGTTGAGAGTGCGGCAAGGGTTGGTTCCAGGCAATGACGGTGGCATCAGTTCAAAGGACCGACGCGTGCCGCGTACGAGGTGGTCAAAGGCCGTCGATTAGCTACATGGGTGGAGATCAGTAGCCGACAACGGCAACTGTCAAAAACAAATACCGTCGTTGTCACTGCTGTACTTTGATGGTACACTCACGCCTCGTCGTCGAGCGTCGGGTGCCGTAGTTCACCGAGCCCGTGAGCGAAGGCGCAGCTGCCCGCTGCGAGGAGCGTCATCGTTCAGGGGTATGGACACGGATCCACGAAGTAGTGAGATTATGGCCATGGACCGGTGGAGCTCAACAACGTGGCGCTCGTTAGTTGAGGCGGTCCAAACCAAACATCGTTACCCTGTTGGCTACACTGCAATGTACACGTCGAAAAAAATTACTTCTTCGTATCTATGATGTACTGCCTCCTACTTGACCCTCTCCACGTTATTTTTGACGTCTTTCGAGGAAAATGACGAAACTCCCACGACGTCCATCACCCCCAAACCCCCGGTACCAGTACGGCTGTCTCCTGCTCGACGGGTCGTCATGTTGATGAAATACGCGATTTGAGGGGTGGAAAAAAAGATGCACGATACAACCAAGTCGAAGCTATTATTCTTTAACAGTATGTACGAGTCTTCTTGTCGAACAGCCAGTCGTAGTCAACATGATCCATGGTGTTGCTGCGCACAAGCATGCTTTGAAACATGGTCTAAGGACCTTTCGGAAACAAACGTGAAAATCCGAATGGCCTCTTTGTTTCCGAGCAGGAGGTCGTGGTAGGGTGCAAGACTCACCTCCGTATGGGCACGTTCCCGTCTGCCAGTGAAGGCAAATCTCCGTCTTTTTTGGCAAAAAGAACAATCGATCAAGTGCACCATCAACGACATGGCAACAGCAGCAGCATCATCATCAGCAGCAGCAGTAGCAGCAGCAGCAGCAGTTAGTGGAGCAACGGCATGGGAACTCAGACGCAGAGACGTAAACGTAAACGCGACAAGGCCAGGCAAGAGAGACACACGGATAGAAAAAGCACGAAGCCACTTCCGACTCGGGAGCTTTGATCGGGAGGTGGTGATCGATGTAATCTGCGTCGTTGTTCGAGGTGGCCAGCGTGGCCAGCAGGAGCTGACCAGCTTGCCCATTCTTTTTTGTGACCAGGCATCCCACATCGTTACCCAATATCTACTACCTCTGACTAGTGACCAACTGCGATTCAAGGCGACACGGGTCCATGTTCCTCTCCCAGGGTCTTTTTTGTAGTCTTGATGGTGTCTGTTTATTTGAAAACCGTGGCTATTAATAGTGCCTAATAGTGGTGCTGTTCATCCGAACAGAATGATTCTATCGGACGCGGAGGTCCTCAAATGGTGTACACGGGAATAACGAGAAACAACAACACAAGCCCTCAAGTACCAGCAATCCTTTAACCGACCCACACTCTTGTTTGATTATAACCCTTCTGGGTCTTCAGGCGTCCTGACAGATCATTGATTGATTGATGATTCGCAATTGCCGGTGTTGTGGCATGCCATGGAGTTGCCGCCCTGTATCCCTCCACGCCAGGTGTTGGCAAGTCAATAGGTAGGTATGTCTATATTACTCGCATCGACCGCGTACCCGGTGAACACTGAAAAGACGTTACTACAGCATTGTCAGCGGTAATATCAAGGTAGCTCCTCCCTGGAACGGCCAAAATTCGAAAATGCACACTGCTCTCAATAGTCTAGACTAAACGCGAATGCCACCATGAACCTCTCCCCATATCCTTTCACAGAGACACACATCGTACGGCTGGCTGTCTGTCCATCTGCCGCCTCTTTGCCCTGTTTGCTCCGTTACTCCCATGCCCTGGTGCGCAGTGCCTGGTGCTGGTACGTTACCCTTTGATTTTTTCTTTCGGCGGGTGTGGGAAGCGTCCTCCTTTATTTTTTGTTATTTTTGTTTTGTTTTATTTTGATCGGTGTCCGAGGGCTCTTTTCTCGAACGGTCGGTGCGATACCTGTTCGTTTGTTGTTGTTGTTGTCTTCACATTAAAAACCATCCCGGTCTCTCTATCCAGTACCTCCTTCTGTCTCAATCTCTCCGTACTAATCCATCACTTGACTCGGCCAATTTCCGTGGTCACAGGCTAACGTACCTAGAAAAGGTATACCAAAATAAAATGGACCCCAAGGGTCAGCAGAGCGATAAAATACAAGAAAACAAAATATAATCAGAAACAAATAAAATAAAATAAAATAAATAATTAGACTAGTGGAACGGCCGCACCACCAGCCTGGGGGGGTAGCCTCCCACTACATGGAGGCAGGTCGGCGGCCAAAGGAAGGGGCGGGGGGACGTGCCAGTAAAAAACAAACCACAAAATAAAACAGAATAAAGCAAAGACGAGGACACAAACAAACTCGCACAGAGACAGGGATATCCCTAGAGACAGTCTGAACGCGACAGCAAACGGGGGAGAGGGCAACAGAAAAATTAGTCGTTGAAATTCGACCGCAACATGTCACGTCACGCGGTCGGTCTCTTCTCGCTTGCTTTCTTCCCGCCGCGCCGTTTCCTTCCGCCCCCCTACCGCCCCGTTGATTGGTGCCGTATCTAGACTATTTTTCGTTTCTTTCGCTCATTGTGTTTTCTTTTTCCGAGTGGTTTGTACCCTATTTTTGTTTTTTTTTATTCTCGCGGCGTCGTATGTGCCGGGTTTTGAGACCACGGGCTCCCCATTTTTTGTGGACTAGTCTATAGAGCTAATGTGAGAAACAACAACAACAACAACAACAACATCAAAAGCTCCACATACATGCCTTCGCCCGAATCTAGCAAGCCACTAACGCAAAGACAGGAGGACAGCGAGAAGGGACATTCAAGCCCAACCAGGCCAGGATATCGTGGTTTGTTGCATATCCTCCAATTTTGAAGATCGTAGTCTACACTCCCAAGATCCGGCAGTCATCATGTCAGCAGCTACACTACACAACAGCAGCAGTATAGTCCAGACGAGTCCAACATACAGCAGTACTCCTGTAGTAACATTACAGCACTGTAGTAACACATACACTATCATCATACTCCACACATACCCTCGCCCAAACCTAGAGAGCCACTGATGCTAAGGTAGGTGTGTGCTGCTGTGCTTGCGTGCCTCGTGGGATTGTGGGAAAATCACAGGAGCTGTAGTGAGCCGGGAGGGCTCACATGGGGGAGGGGACAGAGTACAGAAGTACAAGAACCGGGTTTTGGTCTACAAGCCCTCTCGCTGATCATTTCCACTGATCATTTGAATATACTGAAAATAGACTAGTTTAGGCGGCTTGACGACTGATCTTTTCGAGGTCTACAAGCCTGACCTGCCCTAGCAGCCGCGCCGCGACCACGCATCAACCCTTCTATGACCCTGTCTATGCCCACCGTCCTGTCGCGGGCAGCCCGCACGGTCTATGGGTGGAGATAGCTGTAGGGTCTACAGAAGTATGTACTTCCGTCTCTCTCTGCTGTATGTACTTCCGTCTCTCTCTCCCGCACTCCCCCTCCTTTTTTTTTTGCCGCAATAAAAAAAAGAGCTAGACCCAAAGGGTCTAAAAACATACCCAAACCAAACTAGACTCAGTAGACTCATTTTACTGAAACTCACGAAGCAAATGTGGAAGGAATTTGAGTACCGGCCGCATAGATTTTGTAGTTTCTAGTCCATGGATATGGCAATTTGCCTGTGCTCACAGGGTAAGGCTTCGATCAAGTTGATGCTGGGTGGGCCGGAACGCTGCATCGCAAGGAGAGTTCGGCAACCCTCTTGTGCCATGCCAACAAGCAAGCCAAAGGCCTAAAAACCATGTAAACCTGACCGCCGTTGTCGAATTTCGAATAAGTCTAGTCTAGACTACTTGTATTTTATCACGACAGCAGCATCGCTCAAGATGCAGTTCCACAATGTCTATCAAGAGAGCAATGCCGCGCCGGGATCAGAACGCGACCACTCTCTCTTACACTCGTCTCGATCTCGCTGGCAAACGAACGGGTGTGTGTGCTACACACGTGCGTATGTGAATATCTCTACCGGTGCTGCTGCTGCTGCTGCTGCTGTGTGTGAGAACGACTGCACGACGGGAAAAGATCTCGACAACGTAATTTCTTCTGATGATCGACCTCTTTTTTCTGTAGGCAATCCATTTGTGGCACAAAACCAGCAGACGGTAGCTAGTGTAGCTACTGCCTGTCAACCTCTTGTGCACGACCTCTCATACTGATATAGAAAGATCTTCCAGGTTACTGCCAGCCCAGCTAGGCAAGGAAACCCATACACGACAACGTACTGTAGTGTGTGTGGTACTGGAGTACGGTGAGTAGGCCACATCTCGTTCGGATGTGGACAATGCTCAGCACACACACACCGAAGCAGACGGTAAAATTCAATCCATCTGTAGCTCTCCCGAACCAGTGTGCCAAAGCCCTGGCCACGAAGAGGCATTGCTCCAGGAATTCAAGCATACTACTGGCACCAAAAGCAAACCACCCAGTACGACGCCTCACGCCGCGATCTTGAGGCGGAGCCAAGAACACAGCAGCAGCAGCAGCAGCAGCAGCAGCAGCAGCAGCCGCAGCAGTGGCAACCGCCAACATCGAGGGTTCGTTGCATTCAGCCGCAGTTTGTAAATCCGGTCACCTTTCGGTTGGCGAGGACGACACCGTCACCGGATCGCGATCGCCGCCTGGGTCGACGGCCTCTCGGCCTCTGCTGGACTTTTTCCCCAAGCACCTGGACCCGATGTGCGCACACGCAGCACGAAGAGAGGGTGACCGCAAGCAGCGTGGAAGGGTCAGGTTTACCAATTCGTTGGGTTGGTTGGTGCGATCGGAGATGGCTACCTACCTTCTCTCCTACACCTTCTTGCGATGAAGTCGAAGGATCTCTCACCTGTACCGGCATCTCGGGCGAGCTTGGAGTGCCCTGTGACCAGCTAGGTCGGGCACTAGCCGCACGGGGTGGGCAGGGGAGCTGTGTCGCGGAGATGGAACAAGAGAGACTGGAGCGCACACGCGGACGGCTCCGTTTGTGTTGTCCAAAAAAAAAAAACACCCTCCACCAAAGAATAAAAAAAATATTTGAAAGATCCGGATCATTCAAAGTCGGTGTGTGGAAGATTAAAGTATGCGCGCGTTGTGCAATCGTTGGTGCAGTATGTATCTCAATCATAGGTCTCGGAGGCCCAGCTACCGAAGACAAAAACAGACTGGATAGGTAGGTAGTGCGATATTGGAGAGCTACTGCTCTTGTGTGTGGAAACATGAGTCTTTTCTTCTGCAGATGACCTTCAGATAAATATGCGTGTGCATATGCTATGCAACAACAGCAGAGTATCGCACAACCGTATCCATAGACTACACGTCTACACGTTGTCAACCATCAAATTTTCAGGTGCTTTGTACTTGCTTCTATTTTGGTGATTGACCAAAAAAAATACGACGACACAGAGACCTACCCGTTCGACGTATAATAATCACAGCAGTAGTCGAAGGCGACGGTGGGAACACCTAGTCTTTACAGTGTCAACCGGCTGGATACTGGGCATATTTTGGGTCTTTTTTGAAGCCTAGACTATACACACTACATACACACTTACCGTGTCATTTATTGGCTGACTTGTTGTGTGCAGACCTTCAGGAAAAGAGAGAACAAACAGCTGTTGCTAGGGCACGATGCGTTTGTACGTTCTTTTCAGAGCAATATCTGATACGTGGACTGGTTTCATGTCACAGAACTCCCGATTGCTGCATCATCAAGCCTCTCACGCTTCGAAAAGGGTTCGCGACCAAGATCCTGTCGTCTGCGTGTTATTACTGGAACCGACGATCTAGACCATGTGTTTTCGTCCTATTCATTATGGCGACAGTCCCCCCATCTTTCGTGGTGAGACGTGTACTACACTTTTCAGCGTATGTAGAGTACTACACTTTTCAGTGCATTTTTTCGTACAACTACAACCATCCAGGGTCACACAGGAGGGGGTAAACACCAGGGCTTTTATTCTTTTTATTTCTTTTCATGCCCCACCTTCCTCCTGCGGCGCGTGCTGAATTTTATTTTTATCGCGAGAAGGGTCCAGCCGTCCCTGTCCCTCGTCAACGGTGCTAACGTCGAAGTTTTCGTACTCACGAGAGCTTTTTTAGCTATATTTCGCTTTCACCCGCAAATTTCGTAAATTTTTTACCCCATAGGTATTCGAACTCACGACCTCTGCGACTAGCGGATTACGAGGATACCACTAGACCACGCGGTGCGGGGACCTGAAAATGGGGAGCATTCGTTGCCGAAGTTCACTGCCGCAGAGAAGAACACAAGTCTTGTCTTGCAAACCAGACTAGATGCTGATCGCTAGGTGGAAACATGGTGAATAATCCTTACTTGTAAACGTCGAGCAACAAACAGCGATGCAACAGCCACGGAAGAAGCAGCGAGGCTCTTGAACAACTATCAGCGCATATGGGTTTGTAGACTACGCCCATGCGCGCAGCCCTCCAAAGGTAAACCCCCGCTTACATCCCGCGACCGCCCCGCCCCAGCGCATAGCCGCCGGCGGCGCGAAAACAAGCAGCTCGGCCAATCCAGCGCTGGACAGGCAGGCACACTAACTGGAACAGAGTTGTGACTTCAATTATATCAGTACACTCCTTTGCACCAAACCCAGCAACAGGAAATCAGCACCACAATACAATAATAGTTACTTTACATTTACATAAACACGGAGGGCATGACAGAGGGTTGCCACAGTGGCACCAAACGAGTAAAGCTGAAAACACGAGGTAAAATTGGTACCTAGACAACCTGCTAATGTGAGAGGTGAAACTCTTCAAACAATTCAAATCGGCACAAAGCCAGCCATACAACACCCACCAACTTTCTCACGCGCCACCGACGCTAACAACAACACTGACGTAAATAGCCCAAGTGGGCTTGCTCCGCCACACCCAAGCAGAGGCGTATTTCCGTCAACAGCCTATTCCTCAACCCCAAACCCCTCACCTCCCCGCAAACGCGTTCTCCTGACGCCGCGCCAACAAGCATCAAAAAGAGCACCGTGTCTCCTCCCTCGCCCCACGTGCAGTGCGAGCACGCGTTTCAACTGAATCAGGGCAACCCCATCGCCCGCTACATCCGACTGACCGAGGAGCGCCCGAAGGAGACGTACCCGTGCGTAATATCTCCTCCATGTCTTGGCCGTATATATACCCCAAAAGCCAACATTCTCCAATCGCAGCGGCAACGGTAGCGGACATGTCTGGGTCCTAAAAAACGTCGGTGCCCCACCCAACCCCGGTTCCCCCGGCCGAATCCTAAACTGCTGTGTGCTTCATATTCAATTTGTAACTCTACAGCATGTTTCCGCGCGTCACCGCAACAGCTTCTCCGCCAACGTCCATCCTCCCCAGCTTGTCACCACCAGCCCTTACGCGCGCTGCGCTGCTCCTGCATTTTTCGTGCGGCATCCTGGCGATGGTTGAAATGAAAACACGCCGAACATGCCCGGTGAGATTGAGACATGAAGGAAAGCGCGCGCGGTACAGCAGTCGTTCGTACGGGGGCGGTAAACATCATGAGTAATTTCGTGTGTTGGGAGGTGTGGTTTTGCAATCGTACTACTACACCCGTCGTGAAGAAGTATCCCTTTGCAAAAATTAGCTCATGAAAGATATTTCGGTTTCTTGAAATGATTTTTCTTTTCTCGCTGGGCTACGCTCGTAGCATGTCGTCAGCACCAAGTAAGTAACTATTGACTTCACGCAATCGATAATCGATGCTCCCGTCATTGTTAGTCTGCATTCTTCACCTTCTACACAAGGACGGCGCAAATTGACACTACAAACCTGAACAGCAGTCAGGGGAACAGTCATGAAGACAAGCTGTTCGCAACACACTACAGGCGGGCCTACTTGTTTTGGCTACACCGGGCGAAAGCGTACCTCGCTCAACAGCGGCCCATACAATACAATTGTGATTCCAAGCGTGCACGACCAAAGACCCATGGTATGGATCCCGCGCTGCTGCCTCGGCTAGAAGACAAGCAACCCAGAAATCGGCTGTGCACGTGCGCGTGTCAGGTGCTCTTGCTTACCAGGACACACTTCTGGAAGTCGTCGAAGCGTTCCAGGCAGTCGTCTCTTTCCTCCGACCTCGCCTCTCCCCGCATGTACCCACGCCCGAACTTCTTGACGCACCGATAGTACTTTTTTTGCCACTGATAAAAAACAAAGGTGGCGTTGGACCATGTGTGCGTTTTCTTAAGCAGCGTCGACTGCGCCATTCGGCTGATCAATGAAAAGTCGTCAGTCGTGTGTGTGTGTGTGTGTGTGTGTGCCCTTCAAAGCAGGGGGCAAAAACAAGGTCAGTGGTGAAATGGGAGCGTGAGGTCGAGCCATCGCCACAAGCTTTTCCATACAAGGTTATCAGCAGAAGAAGCTAGAATGATGGTTGCGTACAATATGTCCATGGGCGGCTGTCTTTGCGTACACGATGTGCACAGGCGACTTGCACTCTTGAGACATTAATGCAGACACAACCCGTTCATTTCCGATCACGCTACCCTGGACGCTGGCAGCGCCAAGCTAATGATCATGGCAAGAACGTGTGCGCAGGTACCTTTCAAGGAAGGACCGTTGAAGCTTAGGCAGCATTGTAAACGTGTGTACGTACAGTCGAGGAACCTGTACAGTGCCGGTTGAATAGTGCCAGGTGCCCGGTATAGTGCCGGTAAAATCTCTGGACACAGGCAGAGCTCGTAATAGTGTCAGACCGGCACTATTGAGAGTTTGCCCGGTATAGTGCCGGTTGGGCGGGGCTGTAACCCCCAATAGTGCCGGTTCACCCGCGCATGCACACACACGAGTCCGTTTAGCGCGATCGAAGCTATTAATCAAAACACACGCACACGACGAAACAGCCTTGCTTCGCCTGAAGGCTTATCACACCAACAGTATTCGGAGACGGTTTACCTTCGAGCTGGTTCGTTTTCTGTCGGTACAAAATCGCGATGTTTTCAAACGTCATGGACTCCTGATCGACCAATTTCCACCACGGCCAAGGTTGAGATCTCAGTAGCTAGTGCAGATAAAGAAGAGGATGATGTCAATGAGAGGAATTCATTTAGTAGCAATGAAGGAGGAGGAGAGGGAACGAGAGGTCAAGAGAACAACCAAGACAGCAATCGAGGAGGGAATCATGGAGGGAGGAGAGCAAGAGCTTTAAGCCGGATGACCTTTCCCACAACAAACGGCGCAGGGCAAGAAAAGAACTGCCGAGAAATAGCTGTAAAATAACGATGAAAGTGATGCTCGTGAAAGCAAGGAGGATGATGGTGAAAGCACCCCAAAACGAACTCGTGTGCAAGGTAGCAGCCTCGGTAGGCACGTGCAGTTTTCTTCTGTTGCTACCGTTTCTGTCTTTAACCCGGAAAACAGCTTAGCCGCCCCCTCACGGGGTCCCGGTTCATGGCATTTAGAAGTGTTTTGTGTTGTCAACCGCACTGAGACTGACGTCTTTTCATTGGTCAGCCGGTTAGCGCGGTCGATGCTACTTGAAAAAGAAACACACGCAACCAGGCAGAAGACAGACAACACACACAGACAAATCGGGTACACATACTTGCAGAGTCTGACCCGAAAAGCATTGTACGAACGGGAGCTTTTTAAGCAGTTTCTGCCGTCACCGGTTAATCGGGTGCATGACGCGTGTCTTCCGGTTTCGCCGTCGACTAGTGCTAGTGAGGATCTGCTGTAGCCCGAAATGCAACTATTTTATTTTTCACCTAACTCTTGTGGGTTCGACAGGGTGGAGAAAGTCTGCCCACCCCCACGCTAGAACTTCACGTAAATGTCGATCCATTTGGTACTCTGTTGGCCCCACAAGCGTGGGCGCCACACCATAAATCAAACACGTCTTCAATAGTGCCAGACCGGCACTAATGAGGGATTGGGCAGCCCTCAATAGTGCCGTTTTGGTACTCTTCGCAATAGTGCCGGGTGCCCAGTTTAGTGCCGGTGATCGTTCTGCGCACGTACCAGCACTCTACAGGTCCCTCGACTGTACATCCAAGCGGTTCCTATACACACAGAGCGCACATTTCCACCATGTGGCACATTATTGTAATGTAGGTCAGACTGTCTGTAGACGACTAATTCATGATGCGTCAGATGTGAATTCACACTAAAAAAATGAACAGCAGTACTGCTGTGTAGTGCACGGAAGTAGTGTTTTATGTACCCAAAGTTTAGGAGTACAGATATCGCCCCGCACCTTTTTGCACTCTTCAACCGGATTTGTAATCTCGTGTTGTTCGGCGCGCATGTCATTCTCCACAGACATTCTGAGTTGTTCGCCCAGCAGCGTCGAACACAGGGCCGCCCGCGTGTGTGATGGCAGCAGACGAGATGCCAACTGCCGCTGAACGACGCAGGGTATGTGAGGCAAACGACGCGTCTGAGAGACAAAGGTGGCGGAGAACCCGATAAACAACTTCGGTCCAGTATTCCTCCTCCACACTTGCTGTTGTCAGCCTCAAGCTTTCCTCCACACCAACCTCAATCTCCACTGTCCTATCTCCTCTGTCCTTGGTCCCTGCGCCCTCCCTCGACTGCTGTCGCACCTCTGGCGCCCTGCTATTGATATTACACCGACTTGCCGCGCGCGCTTTTCGGAGATCTTACACTCAAAAATGCGATGGAACTCCATAATTACGCCGCATTCTTGGGAGAGGGGAGCAACACTACGCCTCCCTCAGCAGACAGCAGTGAGGTTGTTGTACCGTCCCACACACGGCTCAGCATGGAGGATGTGGTGACAGACTTTCTGAAAATTCTTGGCAAAACTGAACACGAAGTCCAATCATTGCCTCAAACGAGTGCGGATTTCGAAACATGCAGCCTACGCTCAACGCTGTACGGCCAGTTGGATGCCCAGCTAGGTTCAGCCGTGGACGAAGCCCTCGGTTTGCAAGAGCTTCGGCTCGATCCCGCCGATGCTGTTTGCCCTGATGCTATCAATAAGGTTGTAGCGCGGCTAGCGGCGTCTCCGCCTTTCGTCAGCGTGGTCAACAAGGCTCGCGAGGCGATTGAGCAAGCTGCAGAGGCTCAGCTGGCTGCAGCTGCGACTCCTGTTGCCAACGCCACGGATGGCAGTGTTGCTGCGACGGGAGCTGCTGGAGTTGTTCTTCGTCGGAACGTGGATGCATTGTCAAGCTCCGACACGGAGAGAGAAGACATGCGCGTGAAGAAGAAGGCGGCGCGCAGGGATGATTGGGTGGGCATGTTCGACCTGTCAGGGGGGCTTGGGGGAGGAATTAGCCCTCGTGTGGATATCGAGGCTGCGCTGGGTCAACTGGAGACTGGGCTCGGGGGCTCAGGTAGCTCTGCCACGAGCTCGGTCGAGGCCCTAGGCTTGCTGGCACAGGTGGGAAGGCAAAGCCGTGACGTCAAAAGCCGTGCAGTTCCACGTGTTTCTTGACCGCTCTCAAAGCGGAAGATCTCTTTGCTCGAACTCATCACGCCTGCTCATTTCACGTGTTCACTTACGTGCGTGCAACGCTGTTGGCATGGCACCGCAATTCGTGCTTTCCTTGGGCTAAGTGACAAAAGCCTCAACTATTGCTGACGGTCTACGCCCATTTCCCTTGTCATCTTCCTCAGGCCGATCCGGAGCTGTTTCAGTTTGGAAACCATTGGCCTCTCTTCCTGAAACTCGCTAAACGAGCTTTGGATAGCCCAGATCCGACAGTTCATGCAGAGGTGCGACGCCTGTGCAAAGCAGGAGGACTGCTGTAGCATTGTGTAAATTAGGGTAGGGGGGAGAGGCCTCTGGTGTTGTGACTGTCAACGGGAGAGAACTGGCGGAAGCCGGTGGGATTCATCCACCACCCCACGCACGATGCAAGCCTTTGATAACATGGCCGTCTATTACCCCGTCGGTACGCAGCTCCCCCGCAAGCCCCCGCTTAAGCTGCAACCGCCTCCTCTTCTCTGCCTCTTGGTCCTTGCCGCACGCAACGGCGACAGAAAATTATTACATGAGACCTTCACCCGTTACCATTGTTTCGCCTCGCGCAGGCTATGACCCTGCACTGGGTAATGTACGAGAAGTCCATGGGCATGTGCGCGGCGGACATGTGCGAGGGTGTCCTGGCTCACGCACGGGGGTACTTCTCGAATACGATCCACGTGCTCTCCGCCGCGTCGGTACACCGGCGCCACATGCCGGCTGGTGGAAAGGGCACCGAAACGGCCGATGTCGGAACTGCCAATCTTATGGTCATCGGGGACTCAAAGCTGGCTTGCGCTGCGCGCATGGCAAGGGCTCTTCATGGCATGCTTGTGACGATCCACGAGGTACCTTTGCGTTTAACTTTCGGTAGTTTTGTTCGTGATGCCTCGAGGAAGATGCTCACAAGCCCACATTTTTGTGTATTGGCAGGGGGTCTGGGGCCTTTGGTCTGTCGCCGTTGCAGCTATGTGTTTCGCCCGTTGCGACGAAATTCATATCTGTTTTTTCTTGCGGGGCATTTCAGCCTTTCGAGTGGTGTGCGAGTGCAGACTTTACACGCGACGATGAGATTGTGCCATCCCGCAACACCCCACCCTTGTGTCTTCTTGGCGGTTGTCCTTTCGGGCCAACTGATGCAACGCCGGCAACACCGCAGCACTTTCTCAACATTTCCCGATGTACAACCTGACATCAAATTTGTTTGTTGGTCTTCCCTTCCCCGACAGACGTTCCAACATCTGCCGGAGCGGCGCGTTTGGAGCATTGTCAGTTCCTTCTTTTCTCTATTAGGCGATACTGTCGCTTCCTTGGAAGGGGCGCCAGGTGATCCAACAGGTTCGGGCATGATCGACAGCGATTCTGATGTCAATCCTGATTGTCTCGAGGGTGACGGAAATGGTAACGGGTGCGGCTACGCTGCGCCTTTACCAGATCGGGTGTCGTGTCAGTCCAAGGGGAACCCAACCACCTCTACGGTCCTCGTATCGGCGCATTTCCTCGCCGTTGTCGGCCGAGTCGATGATTGGCTGCCAGCTTGGCTTAGGTCCTTGCCCACCGGGCAGCTTGTGCGAGCGGTAAACGACGCGGGCCTTGTGGAAGCAATGACCCGCAGGTGCAAGTCGCACGGGCAGATTCCCTTCTGCTCCAGAAATATTTGCCATAGACCATCCGGCTCCGACCCTGCCGTTGCCGCTGCCGTTGTGTCAAACGGTGCCCGTGGTACCGCCGGTCCCACCGCACCCGAGTCGGCGCCGCCGGAAAGTTGTCAGCCCAAGGCTGCTGTTGTGAGACACCGTCTCAGCGTAAGCGCTGGTTCCTCGGGTACCTTTTCTTCGGCCGGTTCGGCGGCGCCCCTTGGCCGTGCCCTTTGGCTCTCGGCCGCAGAGCTAGAACGATCGCTCCTGTTACAATCAGTCTCCTTCCTGGGAATTCTCGCCACGCACTGCCGGGGTATGTTGCGGCCATGCCCACCGATCCCCGATGACGAGGACGGCAGCGAGGAACCGGTGACGAGAGTAGAGCGAGAACGGGAAGCCATCGACGGCGGTGTTAATCGTGGCCTCGAGCAGGCGGAGGAAGTCCTGCAGGCGCTGGTGCAGTGTGCTTGGGATATAGAGGAGCGGCGAACTGAGTCTGCAACAGGGGCGTCCTTATTGTCGAGACGAGCACATCCCACAACGAAGCGTGCACGATCGAGATCCGTGCGTTTCGTGGCGTTGGACTACGTTGAGAGGTTGGCAAAGGCGACGGCTGGTGGCGAATCGACGCCGTTTTCCGCTGTCGCTGTGCAGCATTTGTTTTCGTCCCTGGACGGCGCGAAACGGAGCGGCGGGGGGCAACGCGGCAGCTTTGGCGAGAGGGATGGTAGCGATGGTTGCATGAGGGAAACGGATGAGTCACCGGGGAACGATTGCGCCGCGTTTCTAGGGGCACTGGCAGAAATCGCGGGAGTGCTCCTGTCATCACGGGGCGCCTCCGCCGGATTTTTCGTCGATGGTCCTGACGGGCTGCAGGCGTCTTGCGCTCTCCTCGAACTCGTGCGTTGCGCCGCGGAGCTCGCGAGACGTGCGTGCTGGCACTGTTGCCCTCGCGGCGAGAAGAGCGAGAATGAGACGTCGGCAGAAGGACACGGAGACAAAGCAGAGGGTGGGTTTATGTCCTTGGAGAAGGGAGACTTGGAGCGACTCGCAGTGAGATTTTCCTGCGCACTTGCATCAATCATGTGTAATCCCCCAAAGCAACGCGCGGCCGGGCTGCAGGCGCTGTGGCAGGGGGGGGTGCCGCAGGCCCTCGCCACGCTAGTATTGCACCTGGAACATCCCAGACCGGAAGAATTGGCCTCACCAGCGCAAGCCCCGCAACAAGCCAGAGAGGGGAAACAACCCGCTTCGAGAACCAGCGATGGCGGTAATGATGCTGTTGGCTACCAAGAGTTTGAGGAGCGAAATACCGACCTTCACGATCGGTTGCTACTGTCACTGGTTCAGTGGGCGCGGGACCTAGAAGGGGTGAACTACCTGCGTAGGGTAGGGCTGGCCGCGCCCTGTGGGTCCTTCCTTGCACGCGAGCTCGGGTGGCGGCACTTGAACCGCCTCACTAGAGATGAATGCGCAAGCCCTCGGTCACTGGCGCTTGCAATGAGACTCGCTCTGTGCGAGGAGGCTCTCAACGCTCTGCTCTCTGCAGACGGTGGCGTTGTTGATGGAGTGGAGGGAGGGCTAACTCGGCTCGGTGAGTTGTCGACCCTCCCGGAGTTGCTGGAGTCTCAGATGGTTGACCTGCCACCGCCGCATACCCTCGATGCGCGAAGGGTTGGCGGTGACGACAGTGGGGCGGGCGGGTTGTTTGAGGAGGAGCTTCCTAGGAGGTTTCCTGGGCTTAAGCTGGGCAGCGACGCAGGGGATCTCCGATGCCTCGATGTTATTTCCCGCGTGGCCCTGTCGGGCTCCTTCTTGTGTTCGGACTCCGCCAGCCTTGGAGCCCGGCAGATGGAGAGATGGCTGCATTGGGGGTTATCGCGGGCGGCCCCGTGCGCAAATCCCCGCATCAATGCTGGCCGGGTCGCGACGAAGGAAGGAGAGGACGGTTATGTACCTCAAGATGTTCGTGTCGCGGCGCTCCACGTTGTCACGAATCTGGCGGCGGATTTGTCTACCGCCATCGCGATCGAGGCAGAGTGGTCGCTGGCGGACACTCTCGTCCAGCAGATGTCAGACGAGGAGATGGTAGATGCGTGTACATCGGACGACGCCGGTGTCGGCGGCGAGGGGGTGGGAAGAACAGCGTCGAAATCGCGTGAAAGTTCCGGCACGCCGTGCAACAGCGACGGCGGCAGCAGTGGCGGCAAGCACGGCGTCGGAAGCGTCTGTGTGCCCAACATCGTGGAACCTGCTGCGCTTAGCCGTGCCCGCTTAGCGGTGTCACTTACGTGCCTGGGTGGCCCCAACGAGGAACGACACGTGTTGCTGCGAAGACTTCGACATCTCGAGGCGTCGGCTGGCGGTGTGACTGTGAACTCAGGGAAGCGAAACGCCTCCGCTACTTCCGCCCGGACTGCTAGCGGTGTCCGCGGGATGTCAGAGATAGAGTTTCCGGGTGAAGATGCTTCGGATGAAGACTGGTGGAGTGCCGTGGACCAGTGCGTCCCAACTGTGGTGGCGTGCTTGACTGACCCTGATGTGGCTCGAAGGAAGGAGGCATTCGCGCTGCTGAGTAGTGCAGCAGCAAGGAGATCCCTCCTTTTGCCGAAGGAGACAACGCGGCGCTTGGCTGAACCTCGAGCGGCGGACTGCGCTTCCCCCTGTGACGACGGAGAGAGGGGTGGGCCAGAGCCCCAGGGAAGCATGTTTGATAGGAGGCAGGAGGTTATGGTCAAGCTCTGCTTTTCGTACGCGCGCGACCTCGGTTTCGTAGATAATGGTTGCCGAGAGGTATTTGCATCTGGACTGCGGGCTACCCTGGCAGGTGTAGCCGAACCGACTGCGGGTTTGACATCCCGGTCATCGGAAGTTGACACTCCCGCGACGCCTTGGCAAGCCGACTGGTTCGCGGCGGTGGCATTCATGGCCTCCGGGATGGATAGCGCAGCGGCGAGTGAAATGCTTCAAGTTCTGCACCGGCAAATCTTCAGAGCGGCGTTCTTGCTGCCGCTCGCGGGGAAGCGCTACGCGTCAAAAGCGGCGCGCGACACCGCCGGCTGCACGGCCGCTGCCCGAGATCCCCCCGCTCACGTCGCGCAAGAGATGAATTCCGGAGGGCACACCCATGAGGTGGCGGACGTTTACAGCCGTGTTTGCGCTTCACCACTCTCAGGTGATGGTGCCCCCCCGGCCGCCGCAGATCCTTCCCGCGGAGACCCGCCGCTGCTCCTGCTGATTTCCTTGGTCGAGGAGCTGCTTGAAGAAGAACTGCCTCTCATGTCGGCAGCCTTGAGGGGATCCGGGTGGGCGGCGGCCCCTCTCGCGGCGCGATGGGTTCGCCAGTGCATGTTGTCCATCGTAGACTGGCCTGGCGTGGTGGCGTTCCTCGCGCTGTCCTTGCTCCGGGGTCACGATTACCAGGTGAACAGGCTGATACGCCGCGGTTGCTGTTGTGTTATGAATTGTCCCCCCCACGGAGGCTACGTTTCATCGTGGGTGTAGCGGGAGCGGTGGCACTTTTTCGACGGGAACAATGTGTGTGACTTTCGCTGCCGTTGTGCAACCCGACACTACTTTCTGGTCGACCTTCCCAACCCGCATTTTTGAACGCCCGCCTCAGCCGGATCCATGAAAGAGATAACGAAGATCCCTCTGATCTTCTTCATGTCCCCAACGCAACATTTTCTAACACCCCGAACGCATGGCAGTGGCACTACGCCTGTCGCCCGATACTAGAGTTTACCAAAGGCAGCCAACCGCCCCCCCTCGCTGTCACCCACCAACTCCCACTCCCCCGCTCGCAACGCAACCGCAGGTGTACTTTGTCGTAGCTCTTTTCCGCGCGGCCCAGCCTTGCGTCATGGAAGCAGCGTCAAAGGGTCTCGACCTCACGGGGCTACTTGGTAGAGGAGAGGCTCTCGAGGCATTCAATCTGGAAGAATCGCTTTCTTTCATGGAGGCTTTGGAGCGGCGTCATCGAGGGCGGTGCATCGCTGCCACCAAGGCGTATCTCGCTCAGTGTTAAGAGGAGGGGTGTATTGTGCTGGATACCGACTGGGCTTTGTCCTGGACGTTCTCTCTTTACGGACGCTCAGGACGTGTACGTGTAGGTCTCCAAGATGTAGGCCAGTGTTCACTTCTTTGTGTACACGTACAACACGCCCGTGGTGCACGAGAAGTACGTGAGTTTGTTGTGTTGTATGCGCGGCGATCAAAGCGTGTTTCCTACATGTAAGATTCGGTAGTCAAGGCCGTACGCCCTAGCCCCCTTCGTGTCTGGTAACAACGCTTTCATCATGGTCGCAAGGGCAAAGCGCGGCCAGTGAAGTCGAGGAACGCGTTTTCTTGGTTGACAGTGGCAAATGAAACCCTGTATGTGATCTCCCTTCTCCACCACGTATCTTGCCTCACGGGGCAACACCTGAATCAACAAGAGGTTTCTGTGTGAGTCGGCGTACAAATGTATGCCGCCCGGTGCTACAATGCTTGTCGTATGTTATTGCGGCTCGTCACTCCGAAATACCTCTCGCCGAAAAGGCAGCGCGCTCTGCGTGAAAAACTGCACCTACTCCCAGTTGTCAATGACGCCAACTTCTACTCTACACCAGGGTTTCCTCTATCCGAGAGTCCACACATGGTTTTCGTCGCCATCAGGTAACCAGGCATGACCATACAGAGAGGGGGCAACAGATCAACACTTCGAGATGTCCGTGAAAAAAGCGAGTGATGACCTATCTTGCTGCAGCAAAGAGCAAAGTTTTGAGCAAAACCACGAAACAACAGTCACACGCACCCGCGCACGAAATTTTCTGCCCGCTAGTATGAGGTCTCTCCTGGTGACAAACTGTAGCAGGCCGCACCACCTCTGCTTGAGACAAAGGCGAAAAGCAATCCAAGAAATGTAAGTCGGAATGCCTCACGCCACTGGTGGCCACGTTCCCAACCGACTCCTTGTTCCATGCGCCACGAAGCCCGAAACAGAGAAAGGGTAGATACGAAACCTGGTGGTGGCGCACAGTCATGAACACGAAGGTAGAGGAAGGAAGACGTCCTCCTGGTCAGCAGCAGAGGATGCCAGCTTCATATATCCACGAACGAATGTCAAAACCAATCGTTGTCGCTGCCGTCCGAAACCACGCTTTCGCCGAAAAAAACACCGCTACCGCTGCCGCTGCCTCCTCCGGCACCATCGGCCACACTCGCGCTGCTCCCGGCGGTGTTTCCATCGCGACTTCGGGTTCCGACGCCACCCATGGCTATACGAACGCCATCGCCGCTGCGAGTGCTTAAATTCTTCACCGCAGCGCTCGGGGGGTCCTGCTCGTTGTCTTCCCGATCGCTGCTGTAGATCGAGGAGTGTTCACGACGAGAGCATGGGTGGCCGGGGGGGGCGGGTAGATCGGGAAATAAATGCAGCAGTCGGCATTTGGAGTCGCTACCGTCGTACAGTAAATAGCAGTGGTGCGAAGATGGGCTGCTCCATCGGACCACCGGAACTGAGCGAGTGACCAAACACACCCCTAGACTGACTTTCGTACATAGCTCACTTGGTCTCAGGTGTTACTGCCAAAAAGTGCCGGTTTTGGCGAGATCTCATCGGTTGCTTCCCTTTGACGAATCGCTCGGTTCTCGCCTCTTAGCTGTGAAGCCATCGAGCTTTGAAAGTCGGTCTAGGCTGGGGTGCTTCACTCATACACCACTACGGCGCCTTCCATAGCAAGGTTTCCAGGAATAACATTGTGCCGGTGGGGGGCTACCTGTCTGCCTCTCTGCTCTGTACCAGCAGTTTGTTTTGATCGTCGTGGGCAGTGGTCCCAGAAGTCATCCGTTACAACACGACCGTATCCCTCCATCGTGCTACATAACCATAGGAACCTTGAAAGTCTGCTTCGGCCGCAGTGGGACACATTTCCCCAATGCCCCACCTCGCCGAACCCGCGCACGACAAAAAATAATCACAAACGAGCCTATTTTTTGCAACAAATATTCTGAATCCAGAGGCTGGACCCTACCGTCCGGTCTCCTCCGTGCCCCCGCCCCCCCATGGGCGTGCCGGTGGACAACAAAATGTGTTCGGCTTTCGTCGAGCCAAGACTGCTGTCTTTACGGCGGCAAGGTGAAAAGGGCGATTTTATCCTTGAGAAGAAATACACATCCGAGCGCATGCCCACGAAAACTCACCTACTCTGCCCCCCCCCGACCTCTAAGTTACCCCTCGACCTCGTTGAAGGCTCTGACAGGTCGCTCGCGCTCCCGCCAAGGTCACCGCCGTCGTGGTGGCCGCTGCTCTGCGACCTTTGCCAGCGTTGAGACGCCCGCGGCGAATCTTCTTCTCCTGCGTCACCCCCCGTCGCTCGCACTGCGAGGGTATCGCCGGCGGTGGTAGCCAATCCCACCCGAGTTGATTCGGCGCGTGGTTTGTGGTCATGCTGCTGCTGCTGCTGCTGCTGCTTCTGCTGCTGGCGCCTCTGCCTGATTTTTTCTCTGTATTCTTGCACCTCCCGGTGCGCCTGGTTTCGTACAGAGAACAAATTGCAAGAAAGGCCATGAGGAAGAAACTCGACAAGGGTTGCTGGAATCACGGTTGTGGGAGGAGAAGGAGAAAAGGAAAGTACAGCGTAGCGGCGGAAAACTTCAAGCAACAAACAAATGCGAGATCGCGCCTGGTTTGGTGGCCAACGTGAGGCACTGACTGTCGCTTTATCGAGAGCTCCCTTCGTCCCTAGTTTTCTGAAGCAGGGCGGTGTGTCTTGACTCTCTCCTTGCTTCTTCGCACACTTTCGCGTTCCGCAATCCACATAGTCTACTCCATGGAAAACGCGTGTTCTGCCAACAGACAAGGTTCGACAACGACAAGCTCTGCTACCGCCTTTCACCAAAGCACCGTGCAGTACCTCGGTCCCGGCACACTCCCCCGGCAGCAATAAGCACAGCCGGCCACTCGGTTTGAAAATATAAGGACCATTCCGATACCAATGTGAATACGGTACTGGGCCCTCTACAGTGCAGGTTGAATAGTGCAGGTGCCCGGTATTGTGCAGGTAAAATCTCTGGACCCAGACAGCGCCCTCAATAGCGCAGGTCCTGCACTATTGAGGGCGGTTCCGCTATAGCGTAGGTTGGACACACACACAAAACGATGGAGTTGGAAGGAAGGAGGATGGTGGTGAAGGCACTCCAAAACGAACTAGAGTGCAGGGTAGCAGCCTTCATCGACACGTGCAGTTTTCTTCTGATGCTACTTTCTGTCTTTGATCCGGAGAATAGCTTAGCCTCCCCCAAATGGCATTTAGAAGTGTTTTATGTTTTCAATCGCACCAAGACTGACGGCTTTTGATCGTCAGCCGGTGAGCGCGGTCGATGCTAACAAAAAAAACACGCACGGACAAGACAGCGGACAGACCCAACACAGAAACCAGGGTACATGTGCTGCTGCAGACCCGAAGAGCTCTACGCAGAGGCGCACCATGCCTTGTGCAGACGGTGAACTGTGCCATCAGCAAGACACAACGCCGCAAGCCCCTCATGCCACGTCTGTAAGGGGGGGTGTGGTGGGCGGCTCCACGGCAACTGCGGCAGCATGTTTGAGGACGACGAAAAGCATCGCATCTGCAGCAAGTGCGTCGCCAAGGCCGGCAAGCGCAAAGCGACACCGGCCGAGGGTGCTGGGGCGGGACCATCTAAACGCCCGAGGAAAACGAAGGGGGGGAGTGAGAAGGGTTCTGGATCTCGTGTGCGGCCGGACAACAACACGAAGCTTGAGATTCTCAAGTTGATGGATGCGCCAGGCAGACATGATAAAACTTTTCGCCACGTACTGAGGGCGGGGGTACAGCTGTAGCAGTAGTGGTTGGTTGTTTTCTTGTGGTGCGCTTCCTGGCGTGTGTTTTTTTTTTATGTATCTTGCAACATCGAACGAGGGCAGCCGGGACTGAGAAATAGCTCCGTCCATTAAGTGTTATTGTTGAAGGGTAGGTTCGTGCGACAGTTCACGGTGTGCAGGATAGTACGCGAGTTGAGGCAGGAAGAAAATAACGACGCAACTTGCAAGTAACTTTTCTACGACATCTCTGTGTGTGCGACAGGGGGGAACCACATGCGTCGCGAGACAGTCTGCCCACGCCCACGCTAGAACAGGGCCCAGCACTACCGTAACTCGATCCATTTCGTACTCTGTTAGCCCCGCAAAGCATGAGGGCCACACCGTAAAATTAAACATCTCCTCAATAGTGCCGGACTTGCACTCTTGAGGTCCTCAATAGTGCCGAACCTGAACTATTGACGCGTTCTTCTGATAAGTACAGGTGCCCGCTATAGTGCAGGTAAAATTTCTGGGCACACCCCTGCACTACAGAGGGCCCAGTAATGTAGCGCAATGGTTCCTATGCTTCCAAGCAGAGAGGTATAGAGGTAAACCCATCGATGCACACCTGGGCCTTGGCGATGTCAGCCTCGTCGATTGCCTGCGGCTCCACAGGCCTATCTCCCCCCGCTCTTGGCTCATCTCGTCCGTCACCGGTCTGAGTGATATCCACTTGCTGTGCGTCCGCCGAGCCGGCAACCGCGTCTCCGCTTTTCGCCCCCAACGCGCTCGCGGCGGTTTGGTCTGGCCTTGTCTGCGTCGCTCCCGGCTTTTCGGTTTGAGTGAGTCCCCCCGGTGGTTTGTTGGGTGTATCCCGGGGAGCGTTGCTTAGAGTCGGAGACTTGGGTGTTGTTTCGAGGTCGGTTTTTGAGGATGGGACAGCACCATGGGGCGTCCGCGAGTCATGGTTGGTGGTCGGTGAAAGCACCCCGCTGCCAGTCGTTGGTTGCTGCCGCTGCTGCTGCTGCTGCTGCTGCTGCTGCTGCCGCTTGTTGTCTGCGCCAGCTTCACGACAAGTTCCCACATCTTCCACCGACACTCCGGTCGCACAGGAGCTCCGGGTAGCCCCCTGAGGCAGCGGGGGCGCCAAGCTCGAAGCCTCGGGCGCAGTTGCCGCAGTTATCGCCGCCACCTCTGCAGCCGCGTCTGCCTCCATCAACACCCGTTCTCGCCCCCCCAAATCACCCCCCCTGACCCCGTCGGCATCGTCTCCCCTGGCCCCGTCAACCCTGCGTCCCTGCCCTCCCCCGACAGACACATCCTGGCCCGATTGTGCACCCGCGGCCTTTGCTGCTACTCCTTGTGCGGTCTGCACCCTGTGTTCCTGGTCCCTCTGCCCGGTTGCTTGCCGTTGCCCCTCCTCCTCCTCCTCGTTGTCTTGCACCCGCCGCCGTTCTACATCGGCCCTGGACCCCCTCCGGCGGGCCGCCCTCGACGCGGCGGCTACCTTGTCCTCCTCCTCCTCCAGCCGCCGGCGCATCGACTCCATCTCCAGTTCCTCCCGCCGAGCTCGGTCCGCCTGTCCCATCACACACAAAAGGGTCGATGGGCGGGGACGAGGAGCGACCGCAGTGGGACGGGCGAGCCAAAAGATGTGTACAAAGTGCGGAAACGACATGCATGAGCCGGGGAAAGGCAGTGCACGGTTACGGACCTCAAGAGCGGTGGATTGAGAGCCGACGAATATTCACTCAACAGCTATATTGATGGGACGGTGGAGCGGGGCAATGGTGTGGGCACGAGCTCACGCCTTTCTTGCAAGACTTATGGCACGACTTGGCAAACAGCGGTGGCCGGAGGTTTTGAAATCCGCGCATGCGTTCTCTCAATCGTGTGCACACATTGCTCCCCGCCAGCAGAGCGTCTCGTCTCACCTCACGCTCCCGCTGCCTCTCCTCTTCTCTCTGGGCCTCTCGTTCTCGAAAATTGGCGCGCTCTGCTTCAAAATCACGCGCCATCCTCTCGCGCTCTTCCACGAGGAGGAGCTCTGCAGCTTGGACGCGCTCCCTAGCAGCAGTTTCGCTAGCACCAGCGGTGGCGGCGGGCGCAGCACTTGACCCTGACCGCTCTTCGCTGGAGGAACGCCGTCTATAGCTGTCGTTCCACGGACGGCGGCGGCCCCCTCGCCGGTCACCTCTGTAGGGGCGGTGCTCCTCGTTTCCGCTCGATGACCCGTGCTCCTCGCTCTCCCACCTCCCGCTCCAGCCGCGGCGAGAGGGATCTCGGCGGTCGTCGAAGCTCGCCCAACGCCGTCCGGGTGTAGACCGGACAGACAAGTCCGCGCGGCCTCTGCCGTCGCCGCCGCGACCACCGTGCCTGTCGTTCCGGGACCAGGGTCTCCTCCCGTTCCGTGACCGCCGGCCGCTACCGCTCGGGTAGTCGCTGCTGCCGATCTCCACGTCTCCGTCGCTCCAGCACTCGGGTTCCGACTCCGCCTGTCCCTTCCGACCGCCACGGCCTCTACTGCCCCCGCCCCGTTGAAGGTCGGGGCGCCGCTCCCCGTCTTCGTGAGCGCTGGACACTGCCTGCGTCACCCACTCGCCACCGCCGCCGTCCAGCCGCCCTCCCTCGTGATACTCGCGAACGGCTCCCTCAGCAGGGGACCAGGCGCGATCCCCGCCGCCTCCCCTCCGCCGAAAGAAGACCGGGACCGGCTCAAACTCTCCAACACCGCGCGCACCTCCAGCCACCGCACCGTCCGGTTGTCCCCAAGATTCGTCCCGCCTCCGGCCGTCTTCGCCGCCGCGTACCCGTCGGTGGTGCTCTTGTCCCGGCGATCGGGTCCACCCAAAGTGCGTAGTATCGCGGAGGTAGTGGCCGGCGGGGTCGGTCCGCACGGCATCGCGTTCGGCCGCCGCTGCCGCCGTGCTTGCGGCAGCGGAAGCGGCGGCGGCGACGGCGGCGGCAGCGGACGCCGAAGCCGACGACGCCTCCGCTTCGACGTCGCAGAGCCGGATGGCCTCTATCGCGTCACGAGAGCGCCGGAGGGCGGCCCTGAGCTCCTGCACCTGCCCGTCCAGGGCGGACCGCTCGCACTCTTCCTCCTCCGCCCGGTGCTCGGCACGATCTGCTCGTCGGTTGAGAGTCAAAACAGACAAACGCCGGCCGGTGTCGTCGTAGACACGCGATGCGAGGAAAAGAAGACGCGGAAGGGCACGCCGGGGGGCGGAGCCGTAGAAACGTGCCCGTTATTTTTTTCGTGCGTGCAGCTTTCGAGCACTTGAACCAACCGATGCCTTAAGCACTCGACTGTCCCGACAAAATGTCCCAACCGTAGCATGCTGCCTTGTGATCCACGTCGACAGCAAGCCCACAAAAAACACGCACGAATCGCCCTGGTAGATGGGGAGGTGGGAAAGAACCTACGCCGCCACCCAGGCGAACAAACTTCCGTGTCCGAACCATCGCCGAAACAAACACGTCGCTTTCGCCTCCGGGATGCCAACAAAAAGAAAAACGAGACAGAAGTTGTCTCAACAACGACGCCAACGCCCTGTGAGAGAAAAATACCCGTCTCTGCACCATATGGGTTTGCCGGCAACCGCCCCCAACAAGCGCCAACCTACACCGCTCACGGAAAAAAACAATTGACACCAATGTCTTGTTCTGACCTCGGTCTAACTCGGCGCTCGAGAGAGCTTGCCTGAGCTCCGTGGCTTCAGCCTCCCACTGCCGCTCCCTCTCCCTGCAGACAGGCAGTTCAGAAAGCCAGGCAAAACAGATTGAGGGGTGGGTGGGTAGCTTGCTGGGTGGTTGTCGTCAAGGAACAGGCCGAAATAATGGCAGCAGTTACTCACGGATGTCAAAGTCGACTCATGGTAACGTGCCCCCATGGCCCGTGAAGGGAAAACAGTGGCCGTTATGCTAGCAACAGCAACGAGTTTGTGTGTTGTAGGTTGTATGGAACGAAAAATCGACGGCCTCAGCAGCCGGCCAAACCGAATACGTCGTCGCGCAGCAAGAACAATCACCAGCTCGAGGAGGTGCCAGCTACACCATGCAACTTGTTTTCGCCATTTCCCCGTCTTCCCACTCACCTCAGCCGAGTCGCCTCGGCCTTGAGGGCGTCCCTCTCCTCGGTCACTTTCCGAAGACTCTTCGCCTGGCGAGCCTTCTCCTCTTCCATAGACGCCTCCAGCGATCGGACTCTCCCCTCTAGCTCTTCCCGCCCGAGACGCACGAACGCCCGGTCGCCCTCCACTGTCACCTCTCTGTCAAGGAAGAAAAACACAACAGAAAACAACGCCAGTGTATTTAGGGCATGTTCGTCTTCGGGGGGCTGGCTCTCTACCGTGCTCTAGAATGAAGACCACGGCAGCAACAAAATACGTGCATGTAAACATCTCCATAATATTGTATCCCCATGCTCTCTAGTCTAGGTTCCATAGACTGCTTGCTGGTGCTCTCCTTTCATGGCGAACCATAACGAAGAATGCCACGAGTTGACATGCATAGCAAGCCTCTTGCCTTCCACCGCTACGCCTTGCACCGCTCGCTGGCCGTAAGCCCTACCCCCTGCTTGCTATTTATCCGCACAAAAACACGAACAAATGCAAAAAAAACTGGCTTCTTCGGTGCTCCTGTCGCCAGAGTGGTACATGGCATGTAGCCCGCTTGCCTGCGCATCTGGTAGGCCTCCTTGTACACCGCCGCTTGCTCGGCCGCCCTCTCCGCTTCGGCCTCCGCCGCGGTGGCCCGCGCCTCCTGCGCCAGAGCGTCGCTCCTCGCTTCCTACGTCAAAAAAAAAAAAGGGTCCAACGCAGGAGTTACTCAACAACAAAGACTAGACCATGACTTTTTCGTCGGCAAACGTTTTGCGAGGGCCGCACGGACCAGGGAAATCAGTCGCAAACGCGTAAAGGGCCGCGGAAGGTAGATATTCTCCAGTACTTGTGCTGCGTGGGTCCTCCTCGGCCAGGAGAAGGCGCAGACCTGTGTGCTGGTAATCTCGTCGCCTCCTCAGCAGGAATCATCCTTGAAATTTCGCGATAAATCAACGGGGTATTGCCTGCTCCATGCTTCTCTCCCTCCTCCGACGTTGTTGCTGTTGTTGCGTGCTCGCTGTCTTCAAATGATAAACAACATCGGTGTGACCCCGATATCCACTACAGTTCCTCAGTTCCGTCGACTCTTGTTAGCGAACTTCCGCTGTCACACGCTTCGCCTAGAAGAAAGACTCGTCTTCTCATCCCTCTACCATTGACGATCTAGACCGAAATTCCCCCCCCCCGCGCCTTGCCCCGGTGTTGGCCATCGGGGTTCGGTTTTCGTCGCTTGGCAACGACGTTGTAAAACAAGC